AAATTTTTTTTTTTTTTTTTTTTTTAATTTTCTGAGGTGCTTGTTTATCATAGAATAATTTCTGTTATTTCCTGCAATTGAAATTAGGCATTTAGTCCTTAGGTCTGAATGTAGATTGAAAAGTTTTAAGGAAGAATTTCAGTTATGTTATAGTTTGTATTTATTAATGTGGTTGGAATTGAAATCTAACACATTACTGTATTTTAACCTAAATGTCATTTTGGTTCTGTACAGGAGAAAAGGCCTCGGAGTAAACTTCCCAGAGCTCTGAGAGGTCTCATGGGCGAAGCCAACATTCGCTTTGCTCGAGGAGAACATGAAGAGGCGATTTTGATGTGCATGGAAATCATAAGACAAGGTGTTTTTTGTGGGGATTATTGACAGTTGCAGTTTATCCTTAGCAAAGGGGAATTTTCATGAGGGGGGCGTGGCGGAGAGTAGGGGTTTTCATGAAATTACACTTTACTTAGAGAAGAGAATGCTTTAAAAAGGCCATAAATGTATGAAATAAAATAAAGCAAATATAATCTAGTGTTTATTCTAAGTTCCATTAAGTAGTTTGTATAATTCTAATAGAGTTATTTAAAGAGTTTAAATATTAGAAGAAGGATCCATAGTTTGAACCATGGGATTTGACATCAACTCAAGCTTCTTCCCTCAGCAAATGGAATTTTTTTTTTTAATTCATTATAGCTCCCCTGGCTTATGAGCCATTCTCTACTCTTGCCATGATATATGAGGACCAAGGTGACATGGAGAAATCACTGCAGTTTGAGTTAATTGCTGCACATTTAAACCCTAGTGACACTGAAGAATGGGTTAGATTGGCAGAAATGTCTCTGGAACAAGACAATATTAAGCAGGCTATTTTTTGCTACACAAAAGGTAATTAAAATGTTTTTCCCATTGTGTTCGATAAAATGTTACATAATCGGTTTTAAAAAAATAATTGTACTTGCTATTTTGGGGTGATGTTAGCTGAAATATATTCTATTCTGTTATACTAGAGGTATTTGGGTTTCATCTGTTTTCATGTTTCTCAGCAGCTTTATATTGTGAGCTAGTACAGTACAAGTTAGTAGAGCAGCAGAATTTTCACTTTTCCACCAAAGTCAGTGTTGGTTCTAAGCTCTTCCTTGAGGGTTGATATTAGACTGGAGTAACCAAATGAAGGTTAATATGAATCAGGTTCTGTCTGGTCTTACATCAAACTTAGTTGAAATTCTTGTGAAGGTAGATTTTTTTCCTAAATAACAAGCTTACTTTCATAGGAGAATTAGTTTAGAGTGTTTATTAAATTTTCTGAAGAGAAGATGGGTCATACCCAGGTCCCATGAACTCCTTTTTATAATTAATCTATCTTTTTTTCTTTTTAGCTCTTAAATATGAACCTACTAATGTTCGCTACCTATGGGAACGATCAAGCCTTTATGAACAGATGGGAGATCATAAAATGGCAATGGATGGTTATAGGCGTATTTTAAACCTTTTGTCTCCGTCTGATGGAGACCGATTTATGCAGTTGGCTAGAGATATGGCAAAGTAAGTTTGGAGTGAAATGTATATAAATGCTGTTATTAATCATATTTTAGAAATCAAAGCATATATTTGAAGTACAATATGCTTGTTATTGAGGTTCAAGAAAGTGTTTTGCTTCTTGTACTTTATATTGTGCTTAAGTATAAAGAGGTGGGGGGGTTGTTTTTTCAGTACTTTTGGGTTTCCAATCCATCTTGTGATTGCTTAGAAAAATTTGTATATTCAGTTACCTTTCATGCGCTCAGAAGCTTAAAGTGGAGCGTGTTCTGAAATGAGGACTAGGTGCCCAGGTTTCCATAACTTGGGTGAAGTTATACACATTTGCAGTCATATTATTTTAAACTATTGCAAATGTGCTGTGAAATGTTTGTGATCTGGGATGTTCTGAATCGTTTTATCTTGAGCTAATAGTAGAATAACATTTTAAGATGAAATATTTTCTTTATAGTTAGCATCTGCTACTGACTTTGGTATATATTTTTTTCTGAAATATTATGTCCAACTGCGTTTACTTCTCTGATAAGCTGTATAGCAAAACACAGCAGGAAACATTTTGACTAAGTAATGCCTTGTGGTATGCTTTCTGTTCTAGAGATATCTATTATAATATTTCAGTCTAGCATTAACCATCATGATATGGGTATCTTAGGGTTAACCCTGTTAATTCCATGGCCATTGTCATGAAGATGCTTAGCTGTGAAATCACCCCCTATGCTCCCAAGGGTGGATTCTGTAGGCATACTGGAAGCATTTTAGGAAATTGGTTAAGGCAAGGCAACCCTAAATTGATTCTTGTTGTATACAGTCAGCACTGAGGATCTTTCCAGGTTGTTGGCTATTAATCAAATCTCTAGCTGTCACAGTGGTTAGCCCAGTAAGCTTCTACTTAATGAACTAGTAGACAGTAAATTTGTCTTCCTGTGTATATTTTATAGTATTATTGGGACAGGGTGCTGATGAACAGTTCTCCCACTGCTGTAGAGGTCTTTGCTAAATGGAAATCTTATTACTGTAACTTCTGATTGATTAGGCTTGCTCTCAGTCTCTTTCCCTCCAGAAATATTTGTTGATTATAAATTATGTGTTAGGCACCGTGCAAGCACCAGGAGATCCAGTATTGAATGAATTTTAGAATTCCTTGCCCTTGTAGAGTTTACATTCTAGTTGAGGGAGATAGGCAATACGGAAATGAAGAATTAAATATATAGTATGTCAGATGTTGGTAAGTGATATGAAGAAAAACCAAGCGGAGAAGGGGGCTAGGAAGCTGAGGAATAGAAGTGTGTTATTTAAATAGGGTGACTGGAGAAGGACCTAATTCCCTGTGTTGTGGTCATACGGACCTGAAAGGGAACTGAAGGAGGTAGGAGGCAGATACTAGGCAAGGGTATTACTGGCAAGGAAAATGGTAAGTGCAAAGGAATGCTCAGGGAACAACACGGAACCAGAAGGTTTAGGGGAGCATATCGGGGTAATGTCAGGAAAAGAGGTCTCACTTGGCCCTTGTGGGCCATTGTAAGGGCTTTGGCTTTCACTCCAAGTGAGTCTAGAAGCCATTGGAAGGTTTTGAGCAGAAGAGTGACATGATCTGATTAAATTTTAAATGCATCAGTTCTGGCTGCTCCTTTGAGAATAGATTAAGGAAAGGTAAGTGCAGAAGCAGGAATGTTATTGAAGAAAGCACTTCAAGGAGGAGGAATGACCATCTGTGTGAAATAGTGCAGATTATATAAAATGAGGACTGAGTATTGACATTGGAAATGGGGTGGGGGTCCTGGGGGACAGGCAACTCTTTGGAGAAATTTATAATAGGAACAGAAGAATGGGAAGTAATTGAAATGGGCTGTAGGAGTAAGAGATAATTTCTAACTTGGGAAAAATTACAATATATTTGTATTGAAATGGGAGTGATTTACAACTGAGGGACATAGTGAAGATTCATGAGAGAGGGAACAGTTGCTTGAGTGATATCCTTGAGGAGGTTGGAGAGAATCGAATCTAGGTGGGGATCAGCCTTATTATAAAGGAGAATGGAGAAGATACGTGGGTATGGGTAAGTAGGTAGATGTGTTGGGAATATGTGGGATGTCTGATTTAATTGTCTTGTAAAATAAGAAGCAAGGTGAGAGAGAATTTGGGAGAGTGTTGGCGGTCTGGAGAGAAGTTGTTAAATAGTTGTCTAGATCCTTAGGACCTGGCAACCCCACAGACTGGCCACATTTGCATCACTGTGGAGCCTGTCACAAATGTGGCATCTCAACCCTTCCCCAGCCCCACTGGATTAGAATATGCCTTGTTATAAGATCCCCAGCTGATCTGTATGCATATTCAAGTTTGAAAAGTACTAGACTAGGGAGCTCTAGTAAGATTGTTGATCAGCACCATGGGCCCACTGGAGGCTAGTGGTCACTAATTTAGAACGAGTGCTGTCAGCATGCTCAGCTGGGCAGCCGGTGGTGAAGAGTAGGCGTATTTGGATTAACTGGGGTTGGAGTCTTATCAGATGATTTTGATAAAGGGAGAGAAGGGCAGGAGAACTGAGGAGATTCACAAGGAAGTAATAATGTTGGACCATGGAGAAGGAGGAGAGTGAGAACAGGAAAGGTGCAGAGACAGTGAAGAAGTGGGAGGATCCATGATTTGTAGATCCCATTGGGTGAGAAGAGTTGCTGGTGTTGGACTACAGAGGGAATGAGCTGGGATGATACGAGGTAGCTTTGGGAGACTGAGGTGCTTGACGGTGACATTATTATTCTGACACTGGACATTTTTCTCTGAATCAGCTCTGATTATGATTTTAAAGAAGAGTTTTTCTATACTCAAATTTTAAGAAAATGAAAATCAGTAGAGGGCCTAGGCAAGGAAATGGATTTTATAATCTGAGTTAAGTAAGCACTCATCCATTTTGTCATTTACTTTTTAGGAGTTACTATGAAGCCAATGATGTAACTTCAGCTATTAACATAATTGAAGAAGCTTTCTCAAAACACCAGGGCCTAGTCTCCATGGAAGATGTTAATATAGCAGCTGAACTGTACATTTCTAACAAACAATACGACAAAGCTTTGGAGGTAGGAACACTGTGTTTCTCTTTAGGTTTGAAACACATTTCTATGTTCTAGGATGTCTTACAAATTGACAGTTCCTCATCGTAGTTATATCTATTACTTATGTACTAAATTACAGAAAGTCTATATGGAAACATATTTCTAGATTCTGTATTTCATATGAAAGTTTCTGACTCAAAGGCTTTATGGAGAAAGTAATTATTCAGAGCACAGCTGTAATGATGCAGGCACCTCTTCTCTTTAATGCAACTGCAACTTCTACCATCCACAGAAAGTTACAAACTGCAGAAGTGCAAGTGTCCTATGAAGTTACTAAATAAATATATTATGAGAATTAAAAGTAAATCAACTAGTTTGTGAGGATAGAATTTAAAAGGCAGCTGTTCCCTGGGTGATCTACTATATAATAAATGGTCACAAATGTTCCTTCAGAGTAAATAAATAGTAAAAATTAATCCACTTTTTAGAATTAATGCACTTTAGGAACAAGAATAATTATGTTCAATAAACACATTATACTTCTGCATAATAAACCCATGTAAATATGACCTCTACTCCACTGAAAAACATGACCCTCTGTTCAAAGTAATAGAAGGCAAACTGTTAATCTCGGAGAAATACCAACTCTTCATATTTTAAAATGACAAATTAAAGGTAAAAATCTGAGAAAGAAGGAACAGTAACACCAGATGAAGCACTGCAGCTCAAATGAACTTGTAGTAGATCTGATACAATTAAAAAAAAACTACCTGCTGCATTTTAAGAAATTTTAATAAGTTTAGGAGGATAATGTCCTTAACAACTAATTGAAAGACTATTCAAGTATTTAGTGATTTTAAAACCAGGTAACGTGGGATACACTTTATTTCTGAGACTATTAATAATCAAATATAAAAACTACCAAAAAAATGACAAAAACACTGAAATAGAAATGGGTTTTTTACATTAACTGTGTTACATTTCAAACACTTTTATCACATCAGTCACCAAAGGGCCCAGGTATATACTGTCTATATAATATTAAATAAAGGCATAAGGAAACATGAAAGATTTTACTCCTATAATATGTATATAAANTCTATATAATATTAAATAAAGGCATAAGGAAACATGAAAGATTTTTACTCTTATAGTATGTATATAAGGGTAGGAAAGATACTAATAAATATGAAATTAGTTATGTTTAGTGGGACAAAGGGAAACTACAGTCCTGTAGCATGAAGAAGTAGATTTATGAGAAATTAAAACAATTTAAGAATCAGGCTGTTTATAATAAAACTTGCTCTTTAAAATTTTTTCCCATTGGAAAACATTCAGCCTACATAAGAGAGATTAGTACAACAAACTCCCATCTCCCTCCCATTTAAAACCTACTATTTAACTGTACAGGTGATTTGAAATTTAGTTTCCAAATTACTCTGAAGAACAGTAACTCCTCACTTAATGTTCTGCAACTTTAAGCAAAATGACAGATAACAAAACCAGTTTTACCACAGGCTAAAAGATGTAAACCCAAGTTAGTTCCCACAGCATCTCATCAGCATTATAATGAAATGACGCTGAACAAAACATCATTCAAGGGCCTGCTATACATAAATTTTTATCCTACCCAGCCTAAAAGCTACATAATTTAACTATTTACTAATGAGTTAATCCATAAATTTTCCTATCAATTGTTGCCTATCAACTTTATAAGCTTCATGAGGACAAAGAATTCTGCCTGTGTGCTCACTCACAGTTCTATCCACAGTTCCTGGCACAATGGGTGTTCACAGGTGCCAGACATATCTGTACTTCAGGTAGCAGGACTCACCCAGACTAATTGCCATAATTCAATTGTTAATCTGTTGGGAAAAGTAGATTGTTTTGATACAGAGGAATTGCATATTTTCAGTTAAGTATTAGTTAATATGAGTTAAAAATATGTGTCACAGTGGTTTCTTATATTTAAGAGGCTTGCTGTTGTTTTTTATAGCCCATTTATATGTTATAAGGAATATTTGAACTAAATGTACAAATCTTGCTTTGTGCAAAGGTTTTTCATACATACCTACCGTACTATTTTTTTTCTTCCTCCTTCAATTCTTTTAGGTAATTATGGATTTTTCTGGAGTCATGCTAGAAAAGAAAACCACAGAAGAAGGCACTTCAGAGGAGAATAAAGGTTGTAGTTTTCTCTTCCTAGGGAAGTGTATATAACCCTTGCTGTTCATAATGTGGCGTTTTGAAATTGATGGCTCCTGTTTCATAGCAACTTTTCCCAAGGAACATTTTTTCTAGAGAGAGAGAGATCATGTCTTTTTCTTGTAATTATTCACTTACAAGTAATCTTTTAAGAATATTCTCAATACGTCCATTGGAACATAGCTTTTCTTGCTGACCCAGGATCTTTTTAGTACTACATGAAGGAAGAATGGATTCCCAAACAGCTTACCAAAGCAATTTACTTTTCAAACAGGACTTAAAACGCTCTCTACTGATTTACTTTAAACTTAAGCATTGAAAACAGTGCAGCGAAGGCCGGGTGTGGCAGGGGCAGGGGCAGGCGGGAGCGAGGTGGAGGGAGTCAATGGGGGAAAAAAGGGGGACATCTGTACTTTCAACAATAAAGACAATTTTTTTTATGAAGTGCAAATATTAGAACAAAAAAAAATTCTACTTCAAACTTAAGCCTGGTATTTTATCCCTTTTTCAGTCTCTTTGTAGTAAAGACTAAAAGGCTTTTGAATTCAAGAAGACAAAAGAGAATACCTATGTCCTTGTTTGTCATTTTCATCTTTCTAGTTCTTTGTAGTTTTGATAGAAGGTGTAGGAGTTCATGTAGGTTTTAGGTATTGGGAAAAACACATGAAGGATAATTGTTACCGAAGGACAGACTGCAGGAGGAATAAGCACCTAGTACTTGAGCTGGCCAAATTAAAACTGACTGTGGGATCATTTGCTTTGAATTAAGTAAATGAGATCTTATGTGGAAGATATGATTTGCTTCACTTGCCCCACATTCTAAACTTGCATATAGGAAGTCTTCTTGTCTGTCTGTCTAATCCACAGCTGGTGAGAGTGTTACCTGCACTATACCTGATGGCGTGCCAATAGATATCACGGTGAAGCTGATGGTCTGCCTCGTTCATCTCAACATCCTCGAACCACTTAATGTAAGTAACGTTAAGGTCTGTGCTTGAGATACTTCAGATCAAATTCACAATGTTTTGTTTAGATTACAAGAAATTATAAGTTGACTCTAGACTTCACATTTCTTAATAACCAGGAAGTCACTGTAAACATCTTTGTGTGGCTGTCTTATAAAAGCCAAGAGTGTTTTGGAACTGTGCTTATAATACAAATGAGGACAGTATAGAGCTCAGATTTTGAGATTGGGCCTTTTAGACAATTGGTAATTTCTGACAGCTGTTCTCTTTTGCTAACTTCACACTAAGTGTTTTATTAAATAAAAGAATTGGGCATTTACTTTGCAGACTTTAGGATAGGTATTGAATAAAATAAATCCCTGCCCACATGGATCTTTTGTCCTAATGGGATCAGATCAATAATAAGCAAAATAAATATGTAAAATATAGAATGTTAGTTGGTGATAAATGCTCTGGAGAAAAATAAAACGGAAGAAGAATTTGGAATATTGCGGGTGGAAAGAGCTGCAGTTTTAAATAGGGTGGTCAGGAAAGGCCTCCCTGAAAAGGTGACATTTGAATAATGACTTGAAGGAAGTAAGCCATGCTGGAATCTGAGGGGACAGCTTTCCAGAAACATAGCCAACACAGAGACCCTGACGCATGGGTATATTGGCCTTGATAGAGGAAGAGCACAGATCAGTGTTGTCTTAGCCTCTTCCATGTCTGCCTTATAATAGGCCATCAAAAGTAATGTGACAAGTGAGTAGATAATGGAAGTATGAGTTCTTTTTAATAGAGATACAAAAGTGAATAGAAAAATGATTACTGAAAGCTGTTTTATTAAGCCTTGCTCTTTAGGCTTGCCCCAGATAACTGATGTATGTGTGAAAAAGAGAAACAGATGTGCACATTTATCTTGAAGTTTGACTTGGGCTTTAATTTTGATGTCTAGCCTCTCTTGACGACACTAGTGGAGCAGAACCCTGAGGATATGGGAGACCTCTACCTAGACGTGGCCGAAGCTTTCCTGGATGTTGGTGAATATGGCTCTGCGCTTCCTCTCCTCAGCGCTCTAGTCTGCTCCGAAAGATATAACCTCGCAGTCGTTTGGCTTCGGCATGCAGGTAGTATTTTTCTGTGGGAGGGGATTGTAATCATATATATAGGTAAGAACTTACTTTCCCAAGATAGTAGAAATTGTTATAAAATATTAATGTGTTAGTGAAAGTATTTTGGGTTTCAGGGAAGATTTTTGAAAGTTAGTATTTTAAATGGTCTTGGTACATCACAAAGTGATTTCCCCTCACTAATGCTTTGGAGGAATGATTCATGTCATGGTACCAGAGTGAAGTAGGACTAACATTTCCCTGTTAAAAATACTTTAAATACCTATCTCTTACCTGTCTTAACCATAGCCTCTGGTTTCTGCTACTAGGCTATCAGACTTGGGGTGCAATCTCATTTTTGAAGAACTTTTATGGATTTATATTTAATATGTTATTTTGAAAAAAATTACTGTATTTTTCAATGTTCTTTGAGCCGAAAATATGCTCAAGATTGGGTTTTAGCTGTCATTTTATTTCTAAGTCCACAGTAATCTGAATAAATTTTGTATCTGAGTCCACACTGATCAGAAATAAATCATTTAGAGTAGAAAAAAATAGCTTAAGAAATACAACTAAATCTCTTAAAGAAACATGAAAGCCAAAAATATTCTAATAGGATTTCCTATTGAATCAACATAAAAGATGCATTAAAGCTTGAATAGCCTTGTTTAAAATACCACATGATGGCAGAAAGTTCTAATAGTTCTTACAACATGACATAATGGCAGAAACTTTTCTGTAACTAGAGAAGCACTGATTGACATTTTGAGATATTTTGAGACATACCACAGATATGAAATAGCAAAGAAAGCATTTAATAAGATAACATTTTATTGAGTAAATGTGAATACAAATGTAATATACGATCATAAAGGTTCATTATTTGTGCTGTTTGAATTTTAAAGACATGAGCAGAGAGTTGGAATTTTTATTGCCTTCCTAAGGCTGTAATATTGAACCTGCCCTTGTTACTAATAGTAGATATTTTACAAATCCTATTTCATTATGATCATGATGCTGATAAATGCTATTTCAATTTTGAGCCTGTGTAGCTTGAGGAGAGTGGAAGATCAAACCTCAGAATCATCTAAAAACCATGAAGAAATTTAGGCTCATTGTATAAGGAAGATCATTACAGGAATTTAATGCTTGTAGCATAATAACAAAATATCTTTAAAAATAAGTTATGAGAAATGCTATTGTGATGATGCATCCGTAGTAAGTAGTCTTCCTTTATTACCAACATTTAACCTAAGGATGACAGGAGGGATTTGAGATTTGAGAAAGCAATTGGGCAAAAAGTACTGTTTTAGGATATAATTGCAATGAAAAAGAAAAACGATGGAAAGGGCCTAGATTAGTGTTGTGGCTGCTAGGGTGGAGAGAAGAAATGCTTGTGGGGATTTGTTTTTAAGTTTAAATGATAGAATTTAATGATTGATTGGCATAAAGTTTGAGGAATAGGGCCTAATAACTTCATTTCTGAGAACTTAGCCCAAGGAAATAATTGAATGGAAACGGAGTGGGATCATAATACTCAGGAGCCTGGCAGGTAACAATGAATAAAGCGAGAGGACTGGGGAGGGAGGAACTAAAGAGTCCTGTTTGAAGGACATGCTGTTTCCAGCATGAGCCTGTGTGTCGTGTGGGAATGGGGGACCCACTGTTGTCAAATCCAGATTCTTCAGAAGAATCTAGTAACTTGGATTTTATAAAAGTCTTAATTTTTAAAAATGTAGACAATTTATTGTTTTTAACGGCACTATGGCCAAACAAAACACATCAGTAGGTTAAATTGGTCTGCCAGTTTGTGAACTCGGGCTTATATACATGAATGAATGTGTTTACTGCAGTGTTACTTATTAGAGTAAGAATTTTGAAATAACCTAAATGTCAAATAATATGCTTAAGCAAATAATCTATTTAATTGAATATTATAATTATTCAGAATGCTGATGAAGACATGGGGAAATGTTGAAAGCATAATGCTAAGTGAATAAAGCAGAACCCAAAGTGTATGTGAATGCTGATTACATCCTTGTAGCAGTTTGACTTTAGTTACTGAATTCGGTAGATTGATCAATCAGTAGATAGAAATTAGAGTCAACAGTTGTTTCAAAGTACTAGAAATATTCATACATTTTTTCTTGTTATAATTCTTTTGATATTGCTATACTATTTTATTAAAAATGGAGATATAATTTTGGCAAGCTTACCAGTCTGTAGTTCATATTTATGCATTATTTTAACATCTTAGAATGCCTAAAGGCCTTGGGCTATATGGAGCGTGCTGCCGAAAGCTATGGCAAAGTGGTTGATCTGGCCCCCCTCCATCTGGATGCAAGAATTTCACTGTCCACCCTGCAGCAGCAACTGGGCCGTCCTGAGAAAGCTCTGGAAGCTCTGGAACCAATGTATGATCCAGATACTTTAGCGCAAGATGCAAACGCTGCGCAGCAGGTGGGCCATGGAACATACAAGAAGTTTTTCATGGTGGATTATAGTTTAGAACTTTCTCCTCAGTTAAGGATGTCTCTACAACTTATACCAGAAGTTTTATTTCAGTGAATTAAATTCAGTGTATTTAAAAAATGATTTTGAGTCTTAAGTTTCAGCCACTCATAAGACATTATAAATTATAGTTTCTAAAAGATTAGAGCTTAATTATAGTGAAAGTTCATAAAGCAAACGTTGTTAAACTTTGGTTTCTAAGACAAAACAACTTAAAGCAAAGGAATCTTGTCACACTAATTATCATGTTCTTATTTATTTAGGAACTGAAGTTACTGCTTCATCGTTCTACTCTATTGTTTTCACAAGGCAAAATGTATGGTTATGTGGATACCCTGCTTACCATGTTAGCCATGCTTTTAAAGGTGGGTAATGGTCTTGTATATTAGCCTTGTTGACTTTTTAAATGGTTAGAATTTTATTTAAATAAAGATTATAGCTATTTTATAACTTTGTTTCACTCTATTAAACTCAAACTTTTATTTATTTTTTAATCCTCACCCAAGGATATTTTTTCCATTGCTTTTCAGAGAATGGAAAACGTGAGAGAGAGGGGGAGAGGGAGAGAAATATTAACGTGAAAGGGACACACCAACTGGTTGCCTCCTGCACACGCCCCGACCCGGGGGCAGGGAGCGAACCTGCAGCCCAGGTGTGCGCCCTTGACTGGGAATCCAACCTGCTACCCTTCCATGCATGGGCACACGCTCTAACCACTGAGCACATTGGCCAGGGCTAAACTCAGACTTAAAAGTGAGAGTTAGATAGAGACAAAAGACCTAGAGATTATGTAATGGAAGTATAAACTTGCATGAAAGCATAAACTTGCATGAAAGTATAAGCTTGACTGTAGATTAAGTGAAAAAAATCTGTGCCAGTACGTATTTAGAAAAATGAGAACCACAGTATTGTCAGTTATTGGCCCCGTAGACACTATGTGCCAAAATTGTTCACTTTGCAAAAATGTTCTGCAGGTTATAACATCCTTTCTGAGTTTAGCTTTTTTGCAGGGAGGTAGTTATGTGGGTGTTAATATATGTTATAACATTGATGCGAATTGTTTTCTGTGGATAACATGCCCCAAGTTCCTTTGGTAAGAAAAATGTCTATTCAGTCCTTTTTAGGTGTTTATATCCACAATAATTTAGTTTCCTTTTTCCTTACTTAAGAATCTTTCAGGCACACCTATGGTACTTGTGGCCCATAAATTTTCTTTAAAAAATTTTTTAACTAAAAAAATGCCAAATTATCTTTAATTCAGGTAGCAATGAATAGAGCCCAAGTCTGTCTGATATCCAGTTCCAAATCTGGAGAGAGGCACCTCTACCTTATTAAAGTGTCAAGAGACAAAATATCAGACAACAACGACCAGGAGACCTCAAATTGTGATACAAAAGGTAATTACTTTTCATTTGCTTTATTACATAAAACTTGGCTGAGTTGAAGACTCATGAAGTAACACTTGACAGTAATCATCTAACGGAAAATAGCCCTTTTCAAGTAAAATGAAATTTTCTAATTGAAATCCTTTAAGTATAATAGACTCATTTGGTGTTTAAAGAAAAAGGCCATATGTAAATAATTTTAAAAAATTAAAAGGAGAACCTCTGCTTAGTTTTTCTGAAAAATAAAATAAAACTTAATTTTGACTTTAAGAAGAAAATCTACCTTATATTAAGAAATGTGTGAAGATTAGATCACAGTGCAGATTACTGTGTTTGTCCAGTCACTTAATTACATATATCCCATTCTGTGTTAAATTCATTTTTGACAAATGTAGCAGTAGTCATAGAAACTCCGAAAATAAGTTGCTCTGACCCAGTCTCAAATAATACAACTTTAAAAGGCATCTATTTTTAGCTGGGAAAGTATCAAATATGCTTAGGTGAGGTTATTACTTAGAGAACTTTGGAAAAGACCTAGGCTATAAACTGGAGGTATCTGGCAGAAAAGTATTCATTGTTAATTCATTCAGCAGACATGTATTAAGTCATTGTTACCGGCATGGCAGTGTGCAGCAGACGGGTTTAGAATCCAGATGAGCCGAATCTGCTAGCGCCACGGAAGGAGATAAGTAAACATGGGAGAGCCAGGAAAGGAGTGAGGCGGCCGCTCCTCATCCCGCTCAGAGTCCTGCCGTCCAGTTCATTGACTCTGAGCTCATGTATTTGCGCTATGTTTCCTTAAGTTATATTTTTCTCTATGCCTGATCCTGCCTGTTTTCTCTGTCAGTAATTCCTCACTTCAGGTCCCTTGTTGATATTTCTTAGGCTCATAAGGTTTTTGTTGTTTTGCTGTGTTAGTGAATTTTGTTATGGTGGGATCACATTACACCCAGATAAGATGAGCTGGGCCTCTCTGTGTTCCATACGTCTTTGTTCTCTGATTTTCTTCACTTACCATTTTCTCATAGACATGTTCTGATGTTGCTCTGTTCTCTTTGTAGCGATTATATTTAAAGAATGTGTGGTATTCCATTGATGAGCAGTGTCATGATTTATTTACCCTCATTATTTTTTGATGTATGGTTGTTTCTGATAATTTTCTTTTATAAATAATACTATATTGAGAGTCTTCATATCTATAGATGTATTTATATTTTTGACTAATTGTTTAGGATAGATTCCCAGAAGGAGAATTACTAGGTTAAAGACTAAACGTTTTATGGCTTTTGATACTTCTCAAGGGTTATGAAAGGGGGACGTCTTACAGACAAGTAAGGGAGTGAAGATTGTTGAAGGAAAAGAGAAATTTTGAGACCAAAAAAAATTTGAGACAACAAAAAGGTCAAGGACAATCTGAATCTCAGTATGAATTTGAAGTCCTTTGCTGAGCAAACATTTGAATGCCTTGTGTGTACAGAATCTCGTATCTGACCTCAGTCATGGAAAGCACACTCATCCTGCCTGGGGGACCATATATCCTAACTAGCATTGAGAAACACAGATGAGGAGCTGGACTTTGTAGAGAACAAATCGGAAGTGAGAATTACCTGAGATTGCAGATTTTTAGATAGGTAGAGCAGAAGGGGGTGGTGTAGGAGGATCATAAACATCATTGTCAGAAGAGTGTTGGCAAGAATTTAGGCCCATTGGACCATGATTATTAAATTTCACCTTAAAACCAATCATGCATTTTTTTTCTAATACTGCTATTTCTGGAAATACAGTATCCTAACTGATTTTCATTGGTCTCATTTTAGCAATATTTGCTGTACTCACGAGTGTCATGACAAAAGATGAGTGGTGGAACCTTCTGTTGAAAGCCATATACTCCTTATGTGACCTGTCCCGATTTCAGGAGGCTGAGTTACTTGTGGATTCTGCATTGGAATATTGTCCATTTTATGATGACAGACAAAAACGCAAAGAACTAGAATATTTTGGTCTCTCTGCTGCAATTCTGGACAAAAATTTCAGAAAGGCATACAACTATATCAGGTGACTTTCCAATAACATTTAAACTAGATTCTTTGATAGAGTATGCATATTTACTTCAGTTAGTCTCTCATGCTCAAGAATTAATACGCTGTTTTAGTTTAGCTCTCCTGTTGCTCACTGGGTAATTCAGTTCATTGGTGAGTCTGAGGCAGTGTATGGGAGCATGCACTCTCATATACTTAACCTCTTGTGCCCCAGTCTCCCTGTTTATAAAAGACTTCAGAATACTGCCACTTCATAGGATTATTGTGAGGATTAAATGAGTTGTATATAAATAAAGTCTTAACAATGCCTGGCTCACATTATTATTATTCAGTATTCATTGTACTGCAGCTGTAGTGTGAAGGGAGATTAAAAGTGAAACTTAAGTCACTTGGTTCTGTTTTTTGGTTTAAAAGTTTTGTTAAAAAGCAGAAACAAGATGTAGAAATACTAACTTAAGAATTATTTTATGAGAATATCTTTCAGTGTGTAAAAGATTTTGCTTAAATAAATTGCAGCAATCCGCCCTTTTTGAGAGTGGTACATTTCATTGTTGGTGAGACAGCAGTGAAGGGATTAATTCTTAGAAACCAGAGAGATTTTCTTTTCACATTATTTTTTTACCCTCACCTTCTTCCTTCAATTTTAGGATAATGGTAATGGAGAATGTCAATAAACCCCACCTCTGGAACATGTTCAATCAAGTTACCATGCACTCTCAGGATGTGCGACATCATCGCTTCTGTCTCCGCTTAATGCTGAAAAACCCAGATAACCATGCCCTGTGTGTCTTAAACGGGCACAATGCATTCGTATCTGGCAGTTTTAAACATGCCCTTGGTAAGTGTCCTGGCACGTGACTTTGTCGAGTGTGGATGTTGTGGTGGCTGACAGCCCGGCCTCTGGAGTGGAGATTCCTGGGTTCAAACAGCAGTTCCAGCTGCAAATTATCCTCTCTCCCTCTGCCGCCCTGTATCTCTGAAATGGAGAGAATAATTGGACCTATCTTAGAGATTGTTGTGAAAATTAAATGAGTTAATATAAAGTACTTAACACAGTGCATGGCACATATAGTCAGTGCCTGTGTTAGCAAGAATGATAATAATATTAATATGTCTTTCTCTTATGAAGCTTTGGTTTCAAAGTGAAGTCTTATAATTTATTTTAAAGGTCAACCATTCTCTCTACTTGAGCTAATTTTTTTAAAGTGATTTTCATTAATTATGGATGTTTTGCTACCTGATTTTAATTTGCTACAGTACAAAAAAGGATTTAAGATTTGCTGATAGTTTATTCCTTTAGGAGAAAAGTCTTTATATCAAGATTTATTTACATAGTGCTTACTAATGGTAATTAAACTTAGTGAAAATTCATTAATCATGTGCAACAAAGTTCTGTAGTAAGGCATCAGAAGAAAGCAAGTAGGAAAAGACCTAACCAAATGTTTAAAATTAAAATGAGGCACGTGTCTCCTGCTGCCTAAAAGCTAGCGCTGCCGAGTGCGCTTCTGAATAAACTAGGTATGGCTGGTATTCGGCCAGTAACCTTGAGCAGCATCAGATGTTGAAACTCTCTTCCACTGTGTGTGCTTTGGAAATTGTTAGTTTTATATTAATTAAATATAAAATAGAGATTTTTATTTTTCTCAGTTTAGAAACTTACAGAAGGTAAAAATAGAAAGCCCAAATGTCAGTCTACCCTCTATGCTACTAAAGAGATTTTGTGGTGCCATTCCTTCTGGACTAGAAGCCGAGAGGAATAGAAGTTTATATATATATATATGTATATATATATACATGATAAATTATATATCCTTTTGTAAGAAAAATTTGCGTAAATTTCCCCATCTCATATCAGTAAGCTTTTGACATGAGATGATTGTATATGTAGAATACATGGAATTCACAAAAACCCCAAATCTGTATTACTCGATACATTTAGCTTTTCTAAGGAAAAATAAAGTAGTTGCTACATTTAGAAAAACAACACTCATTATCTAAAAAACAAAACAAAACGATTTTTCTTTTTTTCACTACCATGATCCACTACATTTGATTTTTTAAAACAGACCAATTAATTTTACAAAGAATTCATCAAAAGACACATTCCTCCATTGCTTTTTGAATAGATTTAAGGTCATAAGATAGTTTTATGATCACAATTGATAAACTGCTCATTTTGGAAGTATTACTCTACTTGGAAATGTCTAGTTGTGTCTAAAAGAAGGTTGTTTTTGGTTACTCATGTTTAATCTTCAGGGTCAGGATACATTCATGGCTAACTCCTAATTTTGTTATGTTATACACTATTTTAAAATTGAAATTTACATCTGGTTGATATTTTAGAATACACCTTGCATATGTTAACTATCATTAATGTTTGTTTCGCCTTAAAGTGTATTAGAATAAGTGTTGAGGAAATAAGGAATTGTGTTCTTGAAACACCATCTGATATCACTGCTTATTTTTCAGGCCAGTATGTGCAAGCCTTTCGCACCCATCCCCACGAGCCTCTCTATAGCCTCTGTATAGGCCTCACCTTTATTCACATGGCATCGCAGAAGTACGTGTTAAGGCGACATGCTCTTATTGTGCAGGTAATTAATTTAGATTTCTCATTACATGATTGTATATTCTTTAAAAATGAATATACTTAATGTGTTTGCTATCCCACTGCTTATGCCCTGGCCGGGTGGCTTGGTTGTTGTCCCATGCACCAAAAGGTTGCTGGTTTGATTCCTGGTCAGGGTACTTACCTAGTTTGCAAGTTCCATCCCCAGTTCGGGAGCGTACGAGAAGCAACCAATCGATGTTTCTCTCTCTCACTCTTTCTGTCCCTTACTCTCTTTCTTTAAATATCAATAAAAACATATCCTTGGGTGAGGATTTAAAAAAAAAAGTAGTACCTGCTTAGTACATGTGTTGGGAATCCCCAATGACTGCCCCTCTGTTTAGCACTCATGGACTCAACACCCACAGGTACTCCTGACTCAGACTTAGCAGCCATGTAGAAGAGTGCACAGCTAGATCCTGAGGGAAGGCGATACAGGCGAAATCTGGGGAGCTCTGGGCAGGCTTCCTTCTACTCCGGAACCCCTACGCCCTCCAGCTTCCTAGGTCCTAAAGGTTGATATGTTTTAAATTAGTTTCTTAAAATATACACACACACACAATAATGTATAAATATGTGACTGTGTGACTGTTTTCTTACGTCATCACCAACAAATTGTTCTTTTAAAGTTTGTTTGTTATAACAATTTGGAATTACATTTTTGTTTTCTTGTTTACTTTTTTGTAGTTTGTCTTCTCTAATAAGAACATACAGCCCAAGACCAGAGATCTTGTCTGTCTTGTTCAGCATTGTGTGTGTAACACTTGTTTTTATGACTGCACTTTTTATGTGACTATGTATGATGCCTGTATAGACATGTTTTTAAGTAGTTACAGAAGGAAAGAAAGTGTTGAATTGAGTTGGGTAGCAGGATTTAGTAAAGGATTTTTTTGGTTTGTTTTAAAAAATAAAATGGTTAAAAGAATGCCTAAACTAAAATGATGATAATTATTAAAACTGGGTATTGGGGTTCATAATATTCTTTTTACTTTTATATATTTGACAACTGCCATAATGAAAAAGTAAAAAAAACACACAAAACCTTAATTTCTCCTTTTGAGGTATTTATTTATAATATTTTGCCTATGTCTTCCTCTAAGCATTTGCTTTATTAGTGGATACTTTTGCTGTATTAAGCAATGTAGGGTTGTTTATAAATTAAATAAATATGTAGTGAACACCCATTGTTCCAGGAACTTTGGATAGAGCAGTGAGTGAGCACAAAGGCAGAATTCCTTGTCCTCATGAAGCTTATAAAGTTGATAGGTAACAATTGATAGGAAAAATTTATGGATTAACTCATTAGTAAGTAGTTAAATTATGTAGCTTTTAGGCTGGGTAGGATAAAAATTTATGTATAGCAGGCCCTTGAATGATGTTTTTTGTTCAGTGTCATTTCATTATAATGCTGATGAGATGCTGTGGGAACTAACTTGGGTTTACATCTTTTAGCCTGTGGTAAAACTGGTTTTGTTATCTGTCATTTTGCTTAAAGTTGCAGAACATTAAGTGAGGAGTTACTGTTCTTCAGAGTAATTTGGAAACTAAATTTCAAATCACCTGTACAGTTAAATAGTAGGTTTTAAATGGGAGGGAGATGGGAGTTTGTTGTACTAATCTCTCTTATGTAGGCTGAATGTTTTCCAATGGGAAAAAATTTTAAAGAGCAAGTTTTATTATAAACAGCCTGATTCTTAAATTGTTTTAATTTCTCATAAATCTACTTCTTCATGCTACAGGACTGTAGTTTCCCTTTGTCCCACTAAACATAACTAATTTCATATTTATTAGTATCTTTCCTACCCTTATATACATACTATAAGAGTANAACTAATTTCATATTTATTAGTATCTTTCCTACCTTTATATACATATTATAGGAGTAAAATCTTTCATGTTTCCTTATGCCTTTATTTAATATTATATAGACAGTATATACCTGGGCCCTTTGGTGACTGATGTGATAAAAGTGTTTGAAATGTAACACAGTTAATGTAAAAAACCCATTTCTATTTCAGTGTTTTTGTCATTTTTTTGGTAGTTTTTATATTTGATTATTAATAGTCTCAGAAATAAAGTGTATCCCACATTACCTGGTTTTAAAATCACTAAATACTTGAATAGTCTTTCAATTAGTTGTTAAGGACATTATCCTCCTAAACTTGTTAAAAATTTCTTAAAATGTAGCGGGTAGTTTTTTTTTAATTGCATCAGAAGATCTACAGGTTCATTTGGGCTGCAGTGCTTCATCTGGTGTTACTGTTCCTTCTTTCTCAGATTTTTACCTTTAAATTTTTCATTTTAAAATATGAAGAGTTGGTATTTCTCCGAGATTAACAGTTTGCCTTGTATTACTTAACATAGGGTCACGTTTTTCAGTGGAGTAGAGGTCGTATTCACATGGGTTTATTATGCAAAGCATGATGTGTTTATTGAACATAATTATTCTTGTCCCTAAAATGCATTAATTCTAAAAAGTTCATTAATTTTTATTATTTATTTACTCATGAAGGAACATTTGTGACCATTTATTATATAGTAGATCACCCAGGGAACAGCTGCCTTTTAAATTCTATCCTCACAAACTAGTTGATTTACTCTTAATTCTCAGTAATACATTTATTTAGTAACTTCATAGGACACTTGCACTTCCGCAGTTTGTAACTTTCTGTGGATGGTAGAAGTTGCAGTTGCATTAAAGGGAAGAGGTGCCTGCATCATTACAGCTGTGCTCTAATAATTACTTTCTCCATAAAGCCTTTGAGTCAGAGCTTTCAGGGGGAAAAAACACACCCAAGTTATAAAGGGCTCAGATTTTGTATTCCGCTCAAACTTTTAGACGTGTATTTCAGATCAGGAGTTTAAAAGTTTACTGGCCTCTAATGCCACAAAAAAACCCCACATATATCCTGTGTTTTTATGGACTATAGATCTTTGACAGCTAGTTGTAACATTTGTCTTTGTTTTCTATGAATATTTCTATCCTTAGTTTTTTAAAAAAATCTTTTCTTTCCACCTTCAGAAGAGCTCCTGATACACTGTGATATGACACCACAGTGTAGACCTATGTTCTTTTTGGGCGCAACTGTGTCTTTTTTTAATATTTGTATTCCCAGCACCTGGCACATATAGTGGTTCTTACTTGTCGAATGAGTGAAATATTGAATTATTTGTCTTTTTATTTTTGGTAGGGCTTTTCCTTTCTTAATAGATACCTCAGTCTACGTGGGCCTTGCCAGGAATCGTTCTACAATTTAGGTCGTGGCCTTCACCAACTGGGCCTGAGTCACCTTGCAATCCATTATTATCAGAAGGCCCTGGAGCTCCCTCCACTGGTGGTAGAGGTATTGTATGATTTACTTCAGAAATTGGGGAGCCATTTCATTTCATACGTAGATAATTGCATGAGGTAGGAGGTTCTCAGTGAGTCTCGAGGTAGGCGAGAGTGGTGTTCACCAGACTAACGCAGGTTCAGAATTAGTGCCAGTGCTGGGTCTTAGGCCACTCAGCAAACGTCCCGGGGTACACCAAGTCTAGCTGCCAGCCGCTGGGCGCTCGCAGACCTTTGTGGTGGTGCCGGGTCTCAGTGAGTTGTCAGGGTGAGGCCAGCAGAGTTTATCAGGCCCAAACAGTCAAGAGGTGGCTGTGTGAGGGCTGTGCACCAGCGTGCGAGGGAAAAATGCCCCCCTCCTAGGGCCACACAACTCAGTCTGTCCCACTCTGCCAGGAGCCCAATCTTGGCAGGGTGGGGCCCTTGGGAGACGGGAGAGGTGGAGATGCTGATCAGGCTTGGGGGAAGGTGGGGAGTATGCCCCCACTCCAGAGCCACACCCTCAGTCTGTCCCAGATTCTGCAAGCCACCAAGGGTCCAGAGGGTGGGACTAGCAGATCTATCAGGAAGGGGAGGCACCAGTCAGGTTCATAGGAAAGTGGGGGAAATGTCTCCCACCTCAAAGCCATACAGCTCAGTCACTGACACCCTTAGTCTGCCCAGACATCTGCACCTTGATCCAGGCAGCTGACTCTGTAGCAGGGCATGAGCTCCTCAGTGTAGGGGTAGGGTGCCCCCACAGTGGGGGGCTGTTGCTTTCCCCCAGGCTGACACTGCAGAGGGGAGTGCTCCACCCAAGAAAGATGATGTCTTTTATGGTTTCATTGTTTAGCTCTTAAATCCTTAATTCATGTGGAGTTTATTCTGCTGTGGCTTGTGAGTGAGACCTTTTTTTTTAACTTACTGGTTAGATATTTTAAAATATTTGATGATTCAGTTACTATAATGATTAACTGAATTAGCATTATCTGATAAAAATTTAAATCTAAGGTAGATGCATAATTTTATAATTTTTTTTTAGTATTGTGAATTTTAATGGCTTTTGAACACCTAGGAAACTGTTATTTACCATAAAATTGTCCGGGTGTCAGTTTGAAATGTAACTCATTCATGCTTTCTCCCCCTAGGGTATAGAAGTTGACCAGGTAGACTTACGAAGAGATATTGCGTACAACTTGTCTCTCATTTATCAGAGCAGTGGGAATATTAGAATGGCCCAGAAGCTTCTGTATACCTACTGTTCTGTGTGAGGCACCTCAGCCGGGAAAGGGGTATTGGTAGCTGCTGTGCGCGGATCTGTATTTTCTGTCTCAAGGCTTTTTATTAACCCCAAGATAGTAATGATAATTTTAGAATTATTTAACATGTGTTTTGTATTAACATATCATAATGATCTTTTGGTAGATATGTAAAAATGATCATTTCTAAAAGAATTTGTATATTATTCTGTCATTTTCCTTTAGCATTTTTTTAGTACAATTGTCCCCAAAGCTGAAATGGACTGAAGTAACCTTTGAGTTGCCTTGGAATTGAAAACACTAACTTTTCACTCATACTGTTTATTCAGCTGTGCATGTGTTAAACACCTTCTCTCTACCAGGCACTGTGACAGGTGCTTGGAATACAGAGTGAGACAGATGTGACCCTCAATACAATTCCTTAAACACAGAACTTGAGCATGTTTATTTGAAAGAAATGTTTGTTACATTTCTACATACGTTGTCATTGTCAGTCATTCATTTCTTAGTGCCCTGTTACTATGGCAAAAGAGGTTGCTTATTAAAGGAAAGACAAATTGGGAATTTTTCTGATGTCAACACAATTATGTAATTCACTTATCTGTAACAAAATTATTTAAAATGGTTAAGTGGTAGGAAGACAGATAATTGAGTTAATTTTTTCTTTTCATCTGTGTCTATCTTAGCTACATAGACTGAGACCTGGGAGGCTGGGCTTAATTCAGAACATTGTGTTCCGAGGCAAATTAAAAAAATGCATTACTAGTGTTTGACAGTAGCTTTCTGACAAAAAAAAAAAAGAAAAAGAAATGAGAGAACGATGTTCATTAATGGAACCTGGTTTTCATTTCAAGATTACTCGGGATGTAGGAAGGCTGGTAATTGTATATGTGGAATAAAGTGTTGTTGATAAAGTAAAAAAAGAAATAGATGAAAACCTTTATCTTATCTCAAGTATTGTATGTTCTTGAATCTAAGATAATAATGCCTGTTAGATATACTATTGGTTTAAAACAGCATTTCAGAGTTTCTTTTTAGGGGAAAGTAAATGCTGTAAATATGCATGTGGATTGTAAAACCTAGTCCAATTGTGGGAGGAAATAAGTATGAGACAGGATCAAAAAAATACAGTGGGGGCTTTTTAGGGATTCTTACCACTGTTTACACTGTGTACATAACTTTGTGGTTGAGAAGCAGGATTTGTATGTAATAAGTAAATTTATTGTCCCTCTGGCTATATGTGTGTATGTATATGTATATATAATTTAAATAAAGTTTATTTTTATAATTAAAGTGAATTATTTCATATGCTTATATAATCATCATAATCTCCATCTTACGTATGAGATTAAGCAGCGTGTTCACGATCACTAGCAAACCACTCCTTACTCAGAGATGTTCCTGCAGAGGAACACACTTCAGCACAGGGTAACGACGTAAAAATTTGTGCCTAAGTTTTATTTTGGAAAGAGAAAGGAGGCTTCCAGGCCCTTAACCTATTAAAAGCCTCTGTAGAAAACATCTTTTGGGGCGTCACTTTAAAAACTGATACTTTCTTACCCGTCCTTACCTCCGCCTTGGACGGGGTCCTGACAGCCCCTCCACAGAATGAGCTTCTTTTCCACTGGTCACTGTTGGCTCAGCAAGAGCCTGCTCCTGAACCAGTCGGAGCCAGTCAAGAGTTTCCTCCCTCCTTCCCTGGGGATTTTAAAATTGAGGTAGAGCCTTAATGTGGGGCTGAAACTTCATTTTCTGTTTTTCCTGTGGGCCAACTAGCAGTTAACCCATTGTGTTGAGAAAGAAAAAGGGCCTAGACATTAAGAGCAGAGTCGAGAAACAGCAAGAGCACATTTTCCAGTTTTCATTCCTGTCCTTTCTAAGGCTGCATTTTTACCCTTAGATTCTTCCTATAAGATATCCCCAATTCTATAATAAATTCCACTTTAAAGTTTACGCTAGCTTGAGATTTTCTGTTATTTGCACCAAAAAAAGTCCCTTATCCCATTTTTCTTTTCATTTAGCAATGATGCGTTTCAGCTGTTTTCATAAGGAAGGGCACAAGTGAATTCTTCATTCGATTCTCTAAGATAACTGTCCTTCCAAGAGATTCTCTGTTGAAAATAAGCCAGCATGCGGCGGGGCTCCCCAGGAAGCAGGTATGGGGGGCGCTGGTGAGTAGCACTTGTGAGGAGAAGCAAAGCAGGCTTGGGCGTTTGAGGAAACCCTCTGAGGTGACAGATTCATACAAGCAAGCGGGTGTGGGGGGGCACTCAAAGGGAGCAGATCTAATGCAGAAAGAAAAATCGTGTAATTAATAGCCCCAGATGAGGGAATATTGTATACATAAAGAGAATGCTGTAAAAGAATGCTCAAGCCCGGGCCAGTTTGGCCCACGGACTGAAGGGTCTCAGGTTCGATTCCGGTCAAGGGCACGAACCTCGGTTGCAGGTTGGATCCCCGGCCCTGGTCCGGGTGTGTGAGGGAAGCAACAATTGATGTGCCTCTCTCACATCGATGTTTCTCCCCTTCCACTCTCTCTGAAAAGCAATGGGAAAAATATCCTCAGGTGATGATTTAAAAAAAAAGAATGCTCAAAGAATAAGAATTTTATGAAATTAAAAATGTGACCTCCAAAATTAATTCAATGAAAGGGTTGCAGAAAATAGAATTTTAAAAAGACAAAATGGAACATTGAAGAGATGAGAAAATTTCAGCTGAGAAAATGAAAGGTTACAAAACAGTCTACAAGTTCTTTGTGGCACCATATCTTATAAATTCATTTATACTTCAAGGTAATTTGATTGCTTGGTTATAAATAATACCAGTGAGAGGAGCAAACTCCTGCAATGATTTTTATATGCAGTAGATGGCAGTGCATTTTTATAAATTTAGAATTGTACTCCATCTAATACAGTTATGCCAGCTTTTAACATTTTCCAAAAAATTAAGCTTAATTTTGGGAGGGATTAACTTTTTACTGGGATTCATATGAGTGAGGCATGGCACTGTACCCTCTCCCTTCCAGGTACTCCTCTAATCTGACCGAGGAAGGAAGAGAAACATCGAAACTCGGACCACTTCTGTTTGTGGTGGTGTGTTGTGGTTTTTTTTTTAAGTAAGCCTAACAGAAGCTCTGGCCGGGTAGCTCAGTTGGTTATAGCATCCTCCCGAATGCCAAGGTTGTGGGTTTGGTTTGATCCCCAGTCTGGGCACATACAAGAATCAATCAATGAATGCATAAATTAGTGGAATAACAAATCAATGTCTCTTTCCTTCACTCTAAAATCAATTAAAAAAATTAAAATAAGCAAAACAATAAGAAATGGGGCTCAGAAAAGGAGAGCAAACGCAGGCCACGTGTGCTGCCTCTCAGGACTACATGAACAGAGCACCAGCAGCTTCCAAACACAGGGCAGGTGTAACCTATTTTTCATTTGGATAGAAAAAAAATCTGGGGAATCCTCTTTTGCGCAAAATCATACATAAAAAGCTCTGTTTCTCTGCACTGGTCTCCCATCAGCAATGAAAGGACAGCTGGAGCCCTAATGTGTTTCTTGCCCCCCCCTTTTTTTGTGTCCCTGATCAAACAGGTTAGCAGATATCAAGGTAACCACATCACGCTCCAAAAGTTTCTAATCCCACCCCTTAGATCATACCTGAAATGTACCCTGTTTGTGGGCTCAAGGTAAGCAAGCTGAGGTTAGGGTGGAAATGAGCAGGCCCCTTGGCATTTTAATAAAGACATTCAGGTGTTGAGATTCAGAAACGGGAGTTCAAGCAGGGAAAGGGAGAGGCCAATAAACTGGGAGGAAAGAGAGGCCAACACACAGGCAGGTCTGGCCCCGCGACTCGCAGCCGCGTGAGGGGGCGAGGCGGGTCCTGCGGGGCGCTCCTGTTTCCTCTGCGGACAGCGGGCCGACTCTGCCCCCCGGTTCCGGGGCCGGCGGGTCTGCGCGCAGCCCGACGGGCGCGTCCTGGGTGAGCACGCCCACACCCTGCACGCAGTCCGGAGAGGTCATTTTTCTAAGGACGTGCTTCGCGGTGTGAGGTCGGTCCCGCTCGGACAGATGCTTGGGAAGCTGTGCTGCGCGCGAGGCGCGGGACCGCATCTCCCCGCAGGCGCCCCTCGCGCGGGCCG